CCTCCCTCCATCCATCCCTCCATCCATCCCCTCTTTCTCCTCCAGGGATGCTGCTCTGGCAGGGCTGGCAGGGGCAGCTCTGGCACTGGGGTCCCCACCTGCTGCCACCACAGGTGCAGCCCCTGCCCCACTCTGCCCCAAAGAACTCACCTGTCCCACAGAACTCACCTGTCCCACAGAACTCACCTGTTCCACTGGCACCGGGCCAGGGCAGCAGAGAAAATTCCCAGCCCATAATAATCTTTTGCTTCCTGAGTAAATGTTCTCTCTCCCACCTTTTTTTTCTTTTTTGGCAATTTTTTTCCTCTGTGCCTGAGGATCTGCAAGTTGTCCCACCATAGGACAAGGGGGGTCAGAATACGAGGGCCAAAGGGAAGTGGGAGCCATGGAAAGGAGACAGAAATCCAGGGGGTCCCGAGGCTGAGACACCTCTGCACTGAGCACCAAATGCTGTCCCCAAATGGGGTTGTTACACGGCTTCAGTGAGATCAATATTTAGCCCTAATTAAAGGAAACATAACATGAACGCTGGGACATTTGGAGGCTCCAAACACATTAAAGCAAGCAGCATTTTTTTTCTAGCATTACTTTAGCTAAGGTTTCTTTAGTTCTGACCACAGTCTAACATCGACCTGTCCATGTGGGATCCTGGAGATGCTCAGCCCAGGACTGAGCAGTGCTGGACACTTAAACCACTCCCCCCATTTTGTGATGTTGAAAATCCCAAATACCCTCAGAAGTGCCCTTGCCCCATCCACACACGGGCAGCACCACTGGGAAACCAAATCCTCCCACCCATCCCTTTGCTTTACCCCTCATCTGCCTTTGGGGGAGGTTTGGGGTCGTTGTTGTTTCATGTGAGCACCAGAAAGCAGCACTGCTGCTGGAGGGGCTGGCAGGGAGCCGTGGTGGCAGAGGACCCTGCCCTGTGGCTCATTTTGCAGCACTGGGAGTGGAGGCACCAGGCTGCTCCAGCACCCCCAGTGCCAGCTGGAATTCCCAAATCAGGGAGGGTGGCAGGGATCACTCCAGCAAAGGCAGGACCTGACCCTCACACCCCTCAGGGGCTTGGTGGGCACCATCCCTGCCAGTCCTGGGGCAGCTGGGACACAGGCTGAGGCTGCTGAAGTAAAACCAGTTTGCAGCAAGTGCATTTTCCTCCAGGAACTGGGCAAAGGCTGTGGAGACACTCCGGGGTGAGGGGCTGCCTCCTCCCCACAGAGCTTGGGGCCCTGGAGCCAAATGCCAGACACAGGGAGCACAACGTGACATCAGGAGAGAGCAGGAAAGCCAGCCAGGCTCTCCAGGCACCTCCCTCGAGTCTGCAAGGAAAAAAAAATCCCTGAAGGTGCCAAGGGAGTTAAAATAAATAAATATCCCTGGTGACACGGGTAATGGGACCCTGAGCTCCCTCAGGCACCGACGGCAGAGGAACTGTGGGGGGAGCAGGCACCCCAAAATCCCTCATCCCCCCTGTGCCCCAAAATCCCTCACCCCACTGCACCCCAAAATCCCTCACCCCACTGCACCCCAAAATTCCTCATCCCCCCCTGTGCCCCAAAATCCCTCACCTCACTGCACCCCAAAATCCCTCACCCCACTGCACCCCAAAATCCCTCATCCCCCCGTGCCCCAAAATCCTCACTCCTCCCTGCACCCCAAGATCTCTGCTCCCCCCGCACCCTGAGATCCCCCATCTTCCCTGCACCCCAAAAGTCCCACTGCCCCCTGCATCCCTCATCCCCCCTTCTCCCTGATTCCTGAGATCCTGCTCCTCCCTGTGCCATCCCCTGCTGGACCAGACCACGTGGAATGACCCTATTCAAACATTTCAAAGCACAGGAGGCAAACCCTTATCTTCCACAGGAAAAGAATTATTTTATTAAGCATTTTTAAACAGCTACTTAACATTTACTCAAGATAAAAATATGTACAATATCCCACCTTGAAGGCGGCTCCAAAATATAAACACTGTACCTCTCCCGAGAGAAAAACGGAATATTCTTCTCTTCAAAAAAAAAAAGACAACCCAGAAACAAGAATACATTCATATTTCTCACTTCTTTATGCTCAAGTAGTTATACAAATAATAGACATCTGAAACGTTTTAACTTTTAATATATTTATATAATATATATATATATTTATAACAGGATTTTACAAATAAAGGCAACAACTGTATACCAAAAAAACCCAAAAAACCAACAACAAAATAAACGTTAGAACACAATCTGCAATCAAGCATAGTGCATCTCAACAGCTGGTGCAATGGGAGGGCGACATGAGGATCCAGACAGGGGTTCTGCTCACCAGTTCTCAAAACCAGTCAGAAAAAAACCACCAAAGAGCACTGCCCTTAGCAGTGAAGTTTGGGGTTTTTTAATTAAAAAGAAGCTAAACTGGAGATGATGTTCCTCTGTGGAGAAAGCCCCTTGCAGTTCACAAGTGGCACCACCCGGCCCCTCTCTCCTTAACTCGGGGATGTGAGCCAGGCTTTGCCAAGGAGGAATCCAGATGCTCAAACCCTGCCGGGACCAGGTTTTGAGTTTGAAAATCCCAGCGCTGTCATTTTCCAAAGGCACTGACAGGGGCACGTTCAGCGGGGATGGCACTGCCAGCTCCGGCTGAACTGCTCCCTCTGGCAAGAGGCTCCCGAGCCGGGGAAACCGCGGTGATTCCCGAGGGACACGGAGATGCCCGGGGACACAGCCATGCCCCAGGGGACACAGCCATGCCCCAGGGGACAGGGACATTCCCGAGGGACACGCAGCCCGTGCAGCAGCAGCAGCAGAGGCTGGAGCCGGTGCCACCAGCAAGGCGATCCCAGGGACAGCTCCTCTGACCCGGCCCAACGTAGCAGCTCAAGTTACAGGAAGGGCGCAGGTTAATTTATTTATTAGATTACGCCATGGAAAGCTCCAAGCAGCAGCTACCTTTTATTTCTTAAAAAATATCTATGTATCGGCAAGGGTGTGGAGAGAAACCCGTCTTAGGTCTGCCCGACCTGTGTGTGACCAGGCAGTGACCACTGCCCTGCTCCTCCTGGTGGCATTGCCACCACTGCCACACCACAGTGACCACTGCCCTGCTCCTCATGGAGCCCTGGTGGCATTGCCACCACTGCCACCACCTCACAGTGACCACTGCCCTGCTCCTCATGGTGGCATTGCCACCACCTCACAGTGACCACTGCCCTGATCTTCATGGAGTCCTGGTGGCATTGCCAACACCACCACCACATCTCACAATGACCACTGCCCTGCTCCTCCTGGTGGCAATGCCACCACTGCCACACCACAGTGACCGCTGCCCTGATCTTCCTGGTGACATTGCTGCCCCTGCAGTGACCACTGCCCTGTTCCTCCTGGACTCCTGGTGGCATTGTGACCACTGCCACACCTCACAGTGGCCACTGCCCTGCTCCTGCATTCTGTGGCATTGCCACCACCACCACAACACAGTGACCACTGCCCTGCTCCTCCTGGTGACACTGCTGCCCCTGCAGTGACCACTGCCCTGCTCCTCCTGGTGACACTGCTGCCCCTGCAGTGACCACTGCCCTGCTCCTCCTGCGCTCATGGTGGCATTGCCACCACCACACCACGCTCAGGGTCACTAGGACACCAGCCCAGCTCCAAGGAGCCAGCAGGGCCATTGCCTTCAGAGCTGCTCAGGGAAGTACCGTGTTTTATATTCACGAATTTTATATTGGCAGACCCTCAAACCAAGTCTGCCCCATGGAACATTTCTTCACAGCTTTGCAATAGATTCGCAGCTGACCGAGTCAACTGCTGCTCTGTAGATGTGGAGAGGGAGGAAGGGAAGGGGTGAAGCACAAAACCCTTCTTAAACCCTTCTTTAATCTTTTGGAAGCAGCTGTCAATCGCTAACCTGGGTGCATCCTTCATCCTTCTCCAAGCTACCTGACAAGCCAGAGAAAAGGGGATTTAGCTTCCTACGCACAGTGAACCTCGTCCCCACACCTCAGTCCAGCCAATATATAAAAGTGAAACAGTCTCTCAAACTAAAAAAAAAAAAACAAAAAACCAAAAAAAGAAAATAAGAGAAAAACCAGTCACACTGCGCTCAGTCTTTGGTTTCCAAGTTCAAAGGAGGAATCTGCTTCAAAGCTTGAAGCAGAGCTGAGGAGTCGATGGGGGAATGGGCTGGTACAGGAGAGGGGAGTCTCTGGGGCATCAGAAGAGGGGGGGAGATTTTGTCGGGGTTCATGAAGCCCGAGAGTGCGGCGGCAGAGGCCGGCAGGCTGGGGTACAACACGGGCACCGAGGCTGGGTACCAGCACTTCTCCAGCATGGGCAGGTAGGCGGTGGCAGACGGCGGGATCAGGTAGAAAGGCAGGCACAGGGGAGGCTGGTGAGCGTGGGGGCCCAGGAAGCTGCTGGAAGAGCCCATCATGTCACTGCCAAAAGGGCCCTCGTCCTGCGGCGACTCCAGCCTGCTCCTTTTGGCCGGCGGGTCCTCAGTCTCTTGTTTAATAGAGCTTATTCTCTCCTGGACAGCGTACTTGAGGTCGGTATCCTTTTTGAAATAGGGCTGTTCCGATTTGGAGTCGCTTTTCTCCAGCTCTCCCCCGTACCCGCTGTCCGTGTCCGTGTCGCTGCCGCTCTGCTCCCCGCTGGAGTGAGCGAATGTCCGCTGGATCACGGGCACGCAGTTCTTCCCGTGGCCCTCGCCCAGGGCCACCGGCTTCTCCTTCAAGTCCACCATTTTGGGAGGGATGTCCCCGGGCTTGCGGGCCGCCCCGCCCTGCAGCACCTCGCTGGCCATCCGGTGCAGGTGGCTGACCAGCTGCGACGACTTCAGCTCCTTGCCGTTCTCGTGCTTCGCCAGGTATTGCAGCATTTCCTTGGCACACATCTGGAAACCGGATCGAAACATTTCCTGGCTGGAATCGAGGTTTCTCGATGACAGGTCACCTAAGGAAACATTAACAGAGAGAAATTAAAAATTAACAACATGCTAAATAGTTCCATTTTCACCTCCGAGGCGGGCCGCAGGCGACGTTGGACTTGGGCTCCAGCACAGCCAGAGGGGAATGTGATGGCCAGGCTGGACTCTATGAACAGAAATCCCTGGATTTCTGCAGAAATGGACAATTCCATCGGAACATCCACCTGCCCACTTTTACGTAATAACTTTATGTAAAGTGCCGCCTGCTCTTTTTTGTTATTTACTGTATAATCCACCTTCAACAGGTACCAGAGCGAGGAGAGGGGAGTGAGTCAAGCTGTGGCTTCTCCAGGAAAGTCCCCGGGGAAGGGAGGGTGCAGCTCTGGGCAGGGAGCTCCCGGCCCTGGCAGCAGCTCCAGCAGCCCCGGGGGACTCCGGGGAGCTCCAGCAGCTCCACTGCACTCCCTGTGGCTGCCGGGGCAGGGACAGCGCCTCCGAAAAAATTCGGGTTTACTGTATCAGATTCACGTGAGTGCCACATGTGAAAACAGCAGGAGGAAGTGCATCTAAGGCTGATAAGCTGAAGCACCCAGTCTCCCCTCTGCCTGCAGAGCACAGGCCAGCTCGTTTATAAAGAAACTTTAAAAAACGTGTATAGAAAGCAGATTTGCATCTATTTCCAGAGAAAAACAACCAAATAAACCCGACTGGGTTATCTAAAGCTTACAAATGGGAATGGCTTTGGAAAGAATCTCATAGCAAACCTGGGCTGTAATAAAACTACTTAAAACCCAGTTTAATTTCAAACAAACTCCAGGGCTCTCTGCACTGACCACCCTGAGCAACACATCTTTTTTTTTGTGAAAGCTCATAAGCAAAGCTTGAGAAAACGACAGCATGAAAGCCACAATTGTTGTCTCCTCCCTTCAGGGGAACAAGGTGTCACAACCGCATTTCAGAGGCTCCCCAGGGAAAGTCCATCACACACACACACACACACCCCCACAGGCTCTCACCCTGGTCTGAGCACTCACCCGCCTGCAAACCGCTCTGCAGAGCGATGATCTTCTGCTGCTGCTGCTCGATGAGATTGGTCAGTGCCTTCACGTGCTTCAAGGTGAGCTCCAGAACCACAGCCTTCTCCAGGTGCCCTAGAGTCTGGGAACAGAGGGGACAGGTTGGCACCCGCCGCGGGCTGGGCCACGCAGGCAGGAGCCCCACGGGGCTGCCAGTGCCTCCCCAGGAGCCGCGGGAGGACGGACACGGTGACACCCAGAGCAGGCAGGACTACACCGGCAACGTTCCATGGAAATGACTTAAAAAAGCAGGCTACGGAAAAGGCTCTCGCAGAACCCTCTGGGTACTTTCGGACCAGCCGCATAGCCCGGAGAGAAGCGTTTTATTTATCGGTTCTCCTGCCCCTGCTGGCACCGTGAACTGAACCCGGGGCAGCCCGGAGAGCCCGGCTGGGGACTGTTCTCGCCCGGCAATGGCGTGGGGGAGCCGGCGGGCAACTCCCGCAGGGACCCGCAGCTCCCGGGGAACTTTGGGATGCGCTTACACCCTGCCCGGGCGTGCGGCACCGCGGAGAAAATAAAAATTAAAAACAACTCCCAAAAAAACCACCCCAAATCCGCGGTGAAGCGGCAGCAGAGAGCCGGCGGCGGGGCAGCCGCTGCCCCGTCCCTCCGCTCGCACCTACCGTCAGCTTGAGGTGCTCGGGCAGCAGGTCCTTGAGCTGCGCGATGCACTCGTTGATCCTGTCGCGCCTCTTCTTCTCGATCAGCCGGTGCGGCAGCTTGTAGGTCTCCTGTAGGGCCGGGGCAGCGGGTCAGGGGGGGACGGGACAGCCCGCACGGCCCCGCTGCTGCTGCGGTTCCTCCCGTGCCCAGCGCGCCCGGGAGCGGCCGAGCCCCCGCCCCGGGAGCGCAGCGGCCGCTTCACCCCCGTTAACCCCCGGTTTACCCCGTTAACCCCCAGTTCACCTCATCGCCCCCCATCTCGCCCCTCATTTACCTTGTTGTCCTCGCTCCTCTTCAAGCCCCTCCGCGGCTTGTACACCTGGTACATGTGCGCGAAGTCCAGCCTGCACGGGGCGAAAGGAGAGCAGCGCGTTACCGCCCGTCCCGGAGCCGGCGGGGCCGCTCCCCCGGAGCCCCCCGGAGCCCCCCGAGCCCCGCTTACCCCGGCAGGTCTCCGCTCTCCAGGGCGGGCAGCTTGCCCAGGCAGCCGGGCGGGGGCTGCGCGCTGGGGATGCGCTCCATCGGGGCGGGGGGCGCGGGCGGTGCGGGGCGCTCAGGGGCTGCCGGTAGCGGTGCCGCTGGTCCCGGTACCGGTGCCGGTGCTGCTGCTCATGCCGCGCCCGCGCCGCGCGGGCTGAGGAGCGGCGGGCGGCCGCGGGCCGGGTTAAATGCGGGCGAGTGGGTGGACGGGAGCGACGTGCGGAGCCCTGTGACCGCCGGCACGTCTGGCGGCCCCGGCGCCCCCGCCCCGCCGTCACATGAGCCTCACGTGGCGGCGGCGCGGGGGGAGGCGGGGCCGGGCCGCGGGGCCCCCCCGCACGTGTGTCCCGGCGCGGCGGGGACCGGGGTGGCGGCCTGGGGCTGGGCCGGGCCGGGCCGGGTCGGGCTGGGCTGGGCTGGGCTGTGTCAGCCTGCCTGCCATGCGGTGTTCTGCTGTACGGTGCCATACTGTGCCGTGCCGTGTCTGCCATGCAGTGCCCTGCTGTACTGTGTCATACCGTGCCGTGCCGGGCTGTGCCGTGCCGGGCTGGGCTGTGTCTGCCATGCGGTTCTCTGCTGTACAGTGCCATACTGTGCCATACTGTGCCGTGCCGGGCTGGGCTGTGTCTGCCATGCGGTTCTCTGCTGTACAGTGCCATACTGTGCCATACTGTGCCGTGCCGGGCTGGGCAGTGTCTGCCATGCGGTTCTCTGCTGTACAGTGCCATACTGTGCCACACCGTGCCGTGCCGGGCTGGACTGGACTAGGCTGTGCCTACCATGCAGTGCCCTGCTTTGCTGTGCCATTCTATACAGTGCCATACCATGCCGTGCCGTGCTGTGTCTGCCATGCAGTGCTGTACAGTGCCATACCGTGCCATACTGTGCCATATCGGGCCGGGCTGGGCTGGACTGGGTTGGGCTGTGCCTGCCATGCAGTGCCCTGCTTTGCTGTGCCATGCCATACCGTGCCTTGCTGTGTGGTGCTGTGCCATCTCATGCCATCCTGAGCCATACCATGCCATACCATGCTGTGTCATACTGTGCTGTGCCAAACCGTGCCATACCACACCATTCTGTGCTGTGCTGTGCTGTGCTGTGCCTGCCATACAGTGCCCTGCTTTGCTGTGCCATGCCATACCATGCCGTACTGAGCCATACCGTGCCATACCATGCTGTACCATACTGTGCTGTGCCACACCATGCTGTGCCATGCTGTGCCATACTGTGCTGTGCTATACCGTGCCATGCTGTGCCATACAGCACCCTGCCATACTATGCAGTACTACTGCTGCGTCCCGAGATTGGGGAAGAAAAAAAAAAAAGAAAAAAATCACCCCCAAAGTGACCCAAGCACAAACATGGACCCAGAGAAAGCTGTAGACATGGAAGTTTAGAAATGTGGGAGGAAAACTAAATTAAGTGAGAGTCGCTAAAATGTGGCTCTGGGGAAATGGTGATGCTGCAGGGAAGTTTTGGGGTGGTAGGACCCCATCCCTGGGGGTGTCCAAGGCCAGGTTGGACAGGGTTTGGAGCAACTTGCTCCAGTGGAAGGTGCCCCTGCCCATTACAGGGGGTGAAAATAGATGATAACTTCAAGGTCCCTTCTGACCCAAACCCTTGTGTGATTCTATGATCAGCAGGAAATTCTCCCCTGTGAGGGTGGGGAGGCCCTGGCACAGGTTCACATAGAAGCTGTGGCTGCCCCATCCCTGGAAGTGTTGCACGGAGCAACCTGGTCTAGTGGAAGGTGTCCCTGTGCATGGCAGGGGTTGGAATTATGATAATTTTAAAGTCCTTTCCCACCCAGATCATTCCATGACATCCCATGGCCGTGCCAGCCCATGGACGCCAGCAGTTGCACAATGCTGAGCAATGATAATGGTTTGTGTGTACCTGCCAAGGCAGAGCTCTCCTGAAGGGCCGTGGTCACTTCCCTGCTGAGTGCTGAGCAAGTACAGGCAGGCTCAGCTGATAAAAGCTGCGTTTACCAAGATAAGGGAACAGAAGAGCTCCAGCACTGAGCTCTTGCTATTGTCTGCAGAGTCCTGGCTGCTCCACCTCGGGAGGAACCCAAGGGAAGGAAGTGCTACATGAGAGCACAGAGAGGTTTCATGTGGGAGATGGAGACAGGCTGTTTAAGGTTTATCCCCATCCAAAGGTGTCTCTTGTTACCAGGTAGAATCCCAAGGGAAGCTGGAGCCTCAGAAAGATGCTAGCCATAAATGTAAGGTCTATAAAACCCCAAAATCTCCTTTACAAGCTCCCAGCATAATCTCCAGTGTGAATACCACAGCAGTGGATCAGTGACATGAGGCTTCCACAAAACAGATGTTTGGGTTGTCCCACTCAACATGGTCTTCTCAGCGTTTGACATCCAAGCCTGCAAACCTGGTGATTATGGCCAGGATCCTGGAATCCCAGAATGGTTTGGGTTGAAAGGATCTTAAAGACATCTCAACCCAATGCTCATCTACCATGAGGGTCCCTGTGGTGTCACAGCCCCGGCACATCGTGGAGGAGAGGACTTGGGGCTGAGCATGGAGCTCTGAGTGCCACAGAATCACAGCTCCGAGCTGCTCCTTCCTGCAGGCACCGAACAAATTCAGCAATAACCACCAGAAGACACGGGGGTGATGCCTTTGTCCCCTGCTGCAGCTCAAGGGACCGTGACCAGCCTCAGTAACGAGCCCTGGAGCAGACAGTTCGTTCTCCCTGTGCCCCCAAGAACCAAGCTGTTATTTTCCAAACAAAGGGTGGAAAAAACACAGACAATTTTTCATCTGTCCCATCTCTGACCCTTTGTCCAAGGCAACAGAAATAATTAGAGCTTGCTGCAGCCTTTTGCTAATGAAAAATGAGGTTTGGGGCCAACCTGTTCTGCATTTGAAGTTCAGGCTCCAAGAGTACGTGGACGGCTTCATGCCCGTGGATTGTCTGACTCCTGCATGCTCCTTCAGATATTCGGTACATTCCTGCAGTGGGTGGTGAGCCACAAATCAGGGTCAGAGGTAATCCCCAATTATTTAGCCCTTTTACTGTTCTCGTGCTTGCCAAACAATTCTCCATATCAGGATTTGCTCATGACCTTAAGGGACGTTGCCAAGGATTTAGGAGTCCCCCTAAAAGGAGGATCCAAATGAAGTTATTACATTCTTGGGCATCAAGTGAGATTGCTCGAGCGTTGAGTTACATTTTCCTGGGGATCAGTTTTCATAAGCAAGGGCTGATGCAATCATCAATTCGCCTTCTCGCTTGTGTTTGCTGAATTATTTCTACATGGAGGGCTCCTTTACACCACACGATTCGGGCAGTAACAAAATGTTTAAAAAGGCCGAATTCTCTCAAGCCATGCGTGGAGCAGCAGCTCTCCTGAGCGCTCCTCCAGCAGGGCTGGGAGTCACAGGACCGCGACAGCTCGTGTCCAGGGGGATTTGCAGTTACTTACAGAGGCACGAGAAGGTGAGAGTTTGGGGGCTGGTTCGGGGGTGGGCTGGGAATCCGAGCCTCAGGATCTATCCCTTCCCCGGGACTGTCCCCTTCCGACCGCGGGGATTTGGGGGGAAAACGTTCCAAAAATCCCTGGCACTGCTGTCTGATGGAAGCCTATGTGGGCAGCGCCGGGAGTTAACAGATGGGTTGTGGATTCGAGCTTACGATAAGGTTACTGAGGGTGGTTTTGTTTTAAAATGTCTCTTACTTAATATATCCATGAAGGCCAGGCATGTGCCTGTGGCCTGTAATCAAATCGCTGACTCTCCCTCTCTCCCATTTCCAGCAATCCCGGCTCGGGTTACTGGCACCGGAGGTGAAAGCTCAGCCGTGCCGGGGCTGGACGCGGGCGCGGTGCCGCCAGGGATGCGCTCAGCCCTCGGCATCCTCGGCCCCGAGCCTCCGGCAGGAACACCCCGTGCTTTCCGCACCAGGAAAAGCTCCTGTGGGAGCCGGGCTGGGCAGCAGGGCTGTCTCCTATGCTCGGCAAACGTGACAGCTCCGCTCCCGAGCCCCGCGGCTCCGCAGCTGCTGCCGCCCCCGGGACGGGCGGGAGGCACGGGCTGGGCGCAGTCAGCGGGGGGACAGCACCTGCATCCCTCCATCCCTCCATCCCTCCATCCCTCCATCCCTCCATCCCATGGGTCCTGCGGAGTGTGGGCAGCGTGGGATGTGCCCAGCAGGAGCTGCCAGGAGAGCTGCCCGGCTCCTTTCCCACCACAGGCTCCAAGGAAGGCGGGGGAGAACCCGCACCCCTCGGCCGGTCCCGAGGGATGCTGTGGGACCTCAGAGCGCAGGGTGCGAGCAGCAGCTTGACACCCACCAGGGCTCTGCCTCAGCCTTCTGGGAGTTGCAAAAGCCCCATTTGGTGTGAGGCCGGGTGGTTTCAGCTGTGTGTGACTCTCGATAGCGCAGCTGGCCGCGCTCGCTGCCGTGAAACCGGCAGGAACCGTCACGAGTCAGAAGTCGAGATTTAATATTGCAAATACGTGCATCCATCGCTGCTTAATTGCATTGGTTGAGGCTGCCATGGGCTCTGCCTGGATAAAGCCCTGGGAAAACACAGCAGGAGCTGTTGTCTCTGTGCCCTCCCTCCGGCACGACCCTGGAGCTCTGCCGGGCACGTGAGAGCTGCGGGAATGACGCTGGCATCGCTCAGCGAAACTCGCCCCAGGACTATTCAAACGAAAGCCATTCCCCTCTCTGAGCAGAGATGTTTGCCAGCACCCAGTGCAGCAGTGGGAGGAACATGTAGGTGGAAACTATTTGGAAGTGGCAAAATTTGTGGACATTAATAAGAGACTTTAGCCCACTTTGATAGCGTGTTTAATAAAACACGCCGGCTTCCCGGTGACATCCTGCCCTGCCAAACCCTGGCAGCTCACGCTGTTTAACCAGTTCCCCCCCGGCTCTTGCACCATCTCGTGAGAAAGAACCCCGGGCGTGCACACCCGGCACACCCCGGGGCTGCACAGGCCTCAGCTCTGTCTGCACCAGCCTAATCACGGAATCAGGGACTCCGGGAATGGGCTGGCTTGGCTCGGAAGGGA